TACCTTGTACATTGATCACAATGTGAAATGTAAGGTTCATTTTCTGTTCAACAATTTGATTTGAGTTCTCACAGTAGGCATACCTCGTTTGGTTGTACCTCGCTTTATTGCGCTCTGCAGATGATGTGTTTTTAATCACTTGAAGGTTTTTGGCAACCCTGTGTTAGAGAAGTCTCTCAGCACCAGCTTTCCACCAGCAAGTGTTCACTTCATGTTGGTCAGTCTCACAATGTTGTTGTTTTTAAGGGCTGTTGAGTTGGTTGTTAGTCATAGCGACCCTGTATAGGATTTTTGGGGGGTTTGAACTCCCGATCTTTCCATGAGAAGTCCAGTGACACACCACACAGAGTTCTGACAACATTGCCAGGCTTTTGCACACGTCACTGAGTAGTGTCAGCATCACCTTTAAAGCATGAAATTCATGCGACTCGCTTTACTGCATAGTCACTTTTTTGTAATGGTTTGGAACAGAACCCATAAAAACTTTGAGGTGTGCCTACAGAGGCCAAGCTCTGCCCCAGATCCTGCGGACAGAGTGGAACATAAGGACTGTAGAAAGGTCCAGCTGATGAAGCACCAAGTCAACAGACCTGGGAGTCCGTGGAGTTGATGAGGTAATGACATTATGGGTTGTTTAAACCATGTGCAGAGCCTTTGACCAGGAGAATGGTGTGGGCAAACCCAGACGAGTGGGAGGCAGGGAAGATGGGCAAGGGGCCCGATACGGTGTTCAGGAGCAGCTGAGGACCTAAGCTCTCCAGGGTCTTGGGGAGAGGTAGTGGCATGCCTGGAAACAATGCTCAAAACTGAGCCATGAGCACGCCAGGAGAGCCTCCCTTATAGCAGACACAGTCAGGATGTGGTGGAAGTGGTACACCTTCTGGGCAGTTCCAACTCACAGAGCCCGCGTATAGGTTTTCTGAACCTGTAAATCTTTATGGGAGCAGAAACCCTCATCTTTCTCCTGTGGAGCAGCTGCTGGATTTGAACTGCTGACCTTGCAGTTAGTAGCCCAATGCCTAACCCAGAATGCTTCTGGGGCTCCTTAGTTAGTCATGATGGTCTTCAGTAAAAATCATGTGAAGTTAACAGTTTATTTTACACTTCTTCTAAACATTAGCACATGTTGTTGTTGTTGTTAATTGCGGTGAGTCAGTTCTGACTCATAGTGACGTTGTATAGCGTTTCTGAGGAACAACAGGTGGATTTAAACCACCGACCTTGTGTTTGAAGTCCAGTGCTAATCCTACAGTGCCACACTATGTGCTGTAAGATTAACACATAGTTAAACATACTTGTAGAATAGACGGGCTTTTATTATTTTATATCTGTATTTAGGACTAAATTAGAATCAAACTTTTCCTTCCCTCTTCCCTCTGACATTTTGGTCCTGTCCTAAGGGGACTCGCTTTCCAATTCTGAGAACCTAGGTTGATGGGTCCACTTGGTGTGCTGTCTACTCCTACGGCCTCACCTACACTGTGCTGAGCAGCAGGTGACCTGCAAGAGGCTTGTTTGGGTCTCAGTTTTCACATTTATCATGACAGTAAGGAAACTTCCACTGGGGGTGACTCTGTGCTTCTGAAAGGACCCTGGTGGCATCTTGATTAAAGTGCTCAACTACTAACCAAACGGTCAGTGGTTCAAACCTGCCTGCCATCCTGCAGGAGAAAACTGAAGCTGTCTGCTTCTGTAAAGATTTGCAGCCTTGGAAACTCCATGGAGAAATTTTACTCTGTCCTATTGTGGCACTAAGGACTTCTGGTGTGGTGCTGTGGGTTAATGCACTGGACTGCAAAGTTGGTTTGAACCACAAGGTTGGTGCTTCAAGCTCATCAGTGGAAACCCTATACAGGATCGCTATGGGTCAGACCTGACTCGATGGCACTTAACAACAACAATTGTGGTGCTAAGGAGCTCTGGTAACATAGTGGTTACAAATCGGCCTGCTAACCTCAGGGTCAGCAGTTCGAAACTACCAGCTGTTCCGTGGGAGAAAGATGAGGCTTTCTGCTCCCGGAAAGATTTACAGCCTTGGAAACCCTGTACAGGGTCGCTGTGAGTCAGGACTGACTCCACGGCACACAACAACAACAACAATTGTGGCACTGGGAGTCCAGGTGTGGCGCTGTGGGCCAATGCTCCAGACTGTGAAGCCATTTGAACTACAAGGTGGGTAGGTGGTTCAAGCTCACCAGCTGCTCCCTGGAAACCCTATTCAGGGTCACGATGGGTCAGAACTGACTTGATGACACTTAACAACAACAATTGTGGCACCGGGAGTCTTGGTGTGGCGCTGTTGGTTAATGCACTGGACTGCAAGGTCCACTTTGGACAGGGAGGCCGGCTGTTCAAGTAACACTAGCTGTTCTTGGAAACCCTATACAGGGTCGCTATGGGTCAGAACCTGACTCGATGACATATAACAACAACAACATTGCGGTGCTGTGGGGTAAAGCACTGGACTGCAAGGTCGGCTTGAACCACAAGGTCAGTGGTTCAAACTCACCAGCTGCTCCTTGGAGCTATGAGTCCAAACCGACTCAAGGGCACTTAACAATAACAACAGCTAGTGGTTATGAATTGGGCTGTGAACCTTAAGGTCAGCAGTTTGAAACTACCAGCTGTTCCGCGTGAGAAAGATGAGGCTTTCTGCTCCCGTAAAGATTTACAGCCTCGGAAACCCTGTACAGGGTCGCTATGGGTTGGAACCAACTCGACGGCACTTAACAACAACAACATAGGATTGTTGAGTTGGAGTTATTCTACAGAAGTGGGTCTGGTCTTTGCTTCTGAACTATCTGCCTGTGGGTGAGGACCCATCTCTTTCCATTCTGGTCCGTGTCTGGCAAGGGGACAGGTGGGTCTGTGCCCTCACCAGAGGGGATGCTGGGAATCCTCTCCATGCTCTGTTTCCCAGGACAGCCTGTCTACGTTCCCACGTCTGGCAGATTGTCCTTGCAAACACTCTCATGGGCTCAAGGATCTGCTTTTGTGAAAATGCAGCTCCTCCTAAGAGAGACATCCACTTAAGACCCTAGAGAACAGGTGTGTGGGTTTGCTTCCTGGCGGCAGGTTTTGGAAAGGGTCATAAAGAAAGCTCCAAGGTTAGAGCCTGGAGGTGTCCAATGGAGGGAAACGAGAAACAGGTCTGAGTGTGAGCACTGAAGATAAACCGCAATCCCTCTCCCCTGTTACTTACATTATCCTTTCAGTTTTTGTTTTCTTATTTTTTGCCCCATTTTAAATAGATGTTCTCTCTCCTTTCCTTCCCCTTTCTAGCGCTGGTATATTACTTAGAGATGACATTTTTCTCTGTGCTTGTTATGTGGGTAAAGTGTTAACTGGCAAATGAGTCTATGGTTACCAACCGAAACCCTGGAGCATTGCGGTTTTCTCTTTCCAACATTTTGATGAAAGGAACCTTATTCTGAAACTAGCACAGATACCAGATTCTCCCTTAATATGGCAGAAATCGTACCATGTGGTACTGTGACGACAGCCGCTCACTGTTTGCTGGCTTTGGCTTTGTCTCACATTCTCCTTTCTAAGTGTGGTATGACTACCTTTTCTCTTCTTCCTTCCCTCCCTTGGTGACAGGAATTTTCTTTCACTTCCTCCTTCCCTTCCTTCTTCCCTCCTGGTCCTCTCTCTTTCTTTTCTCCCTTTCCTCTGTCCTCCTGTTTCTTCTTCTTTTCTCTCTCTTTCTCTTCCTTTTTATTTCCCTCCCTCCCTCTCTTTCTCTGTTTCTTTCTTACTTACTTGGAAGTCAAGAAAGAGGCTCCTAGTCCATCCCCAGTAGCATGGGTGGTCGTACAGAGTCAACGACAACACTTTTCTATATAGGGCAGCGCAGCTATGAATCAGAATCAACGTGAGGGCAGTGGGTTTTCTGTGTGTGTGTGTGTATGAGTATCACAAAATGGTTTTGCCTTGAGGATCCCGTGAAAGGGACACAGAGCTCCTGGGTCCCCCAGAACTCATTGTCAGCATCATCGCTTTAGAACTTCTGTGATTACTGAAAAGTGGATGCTAGAGCTCTAGGAATGGTGGCAGGCTGGTGGGAAAGTACTGGGGGGCTTTTTTTGTGGTGCTCAAGACCCTCCACTATGCTCCCTATGCCTAAGCCAGTGCTTTGTACCTGAAAAATGGACTTGTTTAATGAAAAAGGTTGATGTCTTCTTGTGGCCATTCAAACCTTAGTTGACTCCATTGTTGTTATGTGGCAGTATGTAGTGGTGAGAGGATTTCCACTCCTAATGACCCCATGTGACAGAAGACAACTGCCCCAGAGAGCTTCCGGTGTGGTGCTGTAGGCTAAGCTCTGGACTGCTAACTGCTAGGTATGCGGTTCAAGTCCACCAGCCGTTCTTCAGAAACTCTATACAGGGTTGTTGTGAGTCGGGGCGAATTCTACAGACTTCACAACAACACCATGGGCTGTCATCTTTATGAGAACAGAGCACTAGATCTTTTTCCAGTGGAGCTGCTGAGTGGGCTCAACCCACAAACCTTTCTAACTAGTATTGCTTCACCAGGCTCCTTGTTGGTATGATTGTGGTTGTTAAGTGCCGTCAAGTTAGTTCCGACTCATAGTGACTCTGTATAGGGTTTCTGAGAGCAGCTAGGGGGTTTGAGGTTACCAGTCATTGTCCATGATATGGAAACTCAGTAGTCAAGGCCAGTGTGTGAGTCAGCGCCAGTGTTGTTACAGAGCAGTGCTTTGTGAAGCCTAGTCTCTGAGTTTCTCAGGATTGGCAGGGCCCTCCTTTCTGGTCCACCAAGTAAAATCTAAGGGACCATGTGCGACCCTTCTATCCTCTTTTGTATTTATGGACCAGCCTCTTCTTAGAGACTTTCTCTTACAAAAATGTGATAACTAGATAAAACACTTGCAAGGCATGTCACCAAACTCTTGGGTGGGAGTTTCGGGGTGGCTGCCACCTCCACAACCAAGGATCTGATGACCTGAATCCAATCATCTTATTCTTCTATTCCAGATAGCTTTGAGACGACTGTGCCTTCCAACAGCCACTTGGTGTCAAAACCTGGGGAAAATATCACGCTCACCTATCAGCTTCGGAGTGTGCAGCCCATGCAGCGTGTTTTGTGGGAAAAGATCCAACCGCATCAGATTGACATCCTTAGTTTCTGCAACTTGTCTCAAGGGAAAAGTCACATGTCAAAGTACCAAAGACAAATCCAGACCAACTGCAGTCAGCGGATGAGAAGGAGCTTCATCATCATCCCTCACGTCGTCCCCTCAGACTCGGGACTGTATCGGTGCTACTTCGAGGCCAGCACGGGGGAGCAGGAGACCTTCCTGGTGCGGCTGACCGTGACCAATGGTGAGTGGACACAGAGGTCACAATGTGGACAGAGGGTCAGAATGGGGAAAAACAACCATAGGGCATCGGTTTCTGTCATCTTTTCTCATCTGTTTCATGGGACTGTTTTGTTCACATTTTCTTTGAGTAATTAGGTTTAGGTAAGTTGGCAGTTACTGAATTTTAGTATTGTATGTATTCTTTATCTGCTAATCTCTAAATCACCAAACCCAAACCCACTGCCATTGTGAGTGGAATCTAACTCGCAGGACCCTATAGGGAAGACTAGAACTGCCCGAGAGGGTTGTCTTAGCTGCAGTTCTTTGTTGTTGTTGAAAATACACGCAGCAGAACATACACTGATTCAACCGCTTCTTTATGTACAATTCAGTGACATTGCTTACGTCTGTCCAATTGTACAATGTTCGCCTTTCCTTTTTGAGTTTTTCCTCTCCTATCAACATGAACTCATGATCCCTAAAGGTACCTATGGGATCTTTTGAGTTGCTGTTGTCACTTTGATCCCATATATGAAGGGGTTTCAAAAAGTTCATGGAAAAAGGGAATGGAATTTTTCTATTGCTTTTGGAAGCCTCCTTATAGATAGTACTTAAAAGATCATATAAAGCAAGAGGCAGACATTCTTGACTAATTAAGCTAAATGATTGCTTGATTTTTAAGGAGACTTCAGGGGATTTTCTGGTGTACGTACGTCCTTATAGGAGCAGATCACCAAATCTTTTATCCCACAGAGCTTCTGGTTGGGTTTGTATGTTGATCTTATATCCTGCCACTTTGCTGAATCTTCCAATGAGGTCTAGTAGCTTTTTTTACTGCGTCTTTGGGGTTTTCTATGTATAGGATCATATTTCTGGTTGGGTTTGAACTACCAACTTGTTGGTTAGCAGTCAAGCACATGACCACGGTGCAAGCACGGTGCAAACTTGTGCACTACAGATTTTACAATGAGAGATCTGTTTTTCTTGATCTGCCACATTTCTGAAATTAAAATAATAATTCAGTGAGAGTTCACTAATGAGTTCCCAGTGATATTAGAACTTCTCAGTAGTGGAGACTAGGTCTTAGGAGACTAGTTCAGTAGGTGTTTGATCATGCGGATGCCAGTTTGCCAGCGACCATGCCAGTGCTTTACTCTTCAGGCTTGGGAGCTGAAAGACAGACCCTTGGAGTAAATTAAGCTCACCCTCAGGGCTCTCACGGGCGCAGGCCCCTTACCAAGGTGCAGTCCTCATACTGAGTCATTTTCCATTTTGTCTTGATGGAGTCCTGCATTGTGTCAGCCTCAGGGCCCACAAAACCAGAACCCACCTTGTGCGAGAGTCTCAGAAAGGGGGGCTCTTCATTTCCTGAAGAACTCACTGAGAGGGGAGGGAGCAACCCCAGCTTTGCCCAACCCTTGACGTGCCACAGAAAATGATTAACTTTCGTTGGTGACATGAATTTTCTTATGATTTATTCTTACCCCCTTACCCTGGCCTCTCTCCCTTACCCATCCCCTCTCTTCTCCAGTACTTGCTTCCTCTTTCCCTCATTCCTTCCCATCTTTGTTCCTTCCTTTCTCTCCTTTGCCTCAGGTCAGCTTGCATTTAGATGATCACAGTCGCGGCTTCCAAAGCTCTGACCACTCCTTCAAGGAACCAGGAAAAACCAAGTCAGCGACTGTCAAATCAACTCCAGCTCCTAGTGACCCCAAGTGTTAGAGCAGAACTGTGCTCCATCGGTGTTTCAGGGGCTGGGTTTTCAGTAGATTGCCAGACCTTTCTTCTGAGGTACCTCTGAGTGGACTAGAGCTGCCTGTCTTTGGTTTAGCAGCTGAGCATTGGCGCGCGCACACACACGCACGCACGCACGCACGCACGCACGCACGCGCACACACACACACACACACACACGGAAGTGCCCCCTTCACCGATACTGCTTACATCGCAAGACTGCTTGCTACTTCTTCCTGAGTTGGAAAATGAAGAAGGGAAGGTTTTGTATAAACTTCACCTTCTGCCGCAGCTGTGTCTACTAAAAAGGACGTTCAGCAGAAATATGGTGATTTCTCATATGTAAGTACCTTCCTAAAGAAGCCTTGTTGGCTTTGAAGGATAAGCACTGGATTTCTAGCCACTAGGTCAGCAATTCAAAGCCACCAGCTGCTCTGGAGGAGAAAGATGAAGCTTTCTGCTCCCATAAAGATTTACAGCCTCAGAAATTCTACATAAGGTTGCTATGAATTAGAATCTATTCAGTGGTGGTAGGTAGGCAGGTGGAGTCCTGGTGTGGCACTGTGGGCTAATGTGTCAGACGGCAAAGTCATTTGAACTGCAAGGTCTGTGGTTCAAGCTCACCAGCTGTTCCTTGGAAACCCTATACAGGGTCGCTATGGGTTGGAATTGACTCGATGGCACTTAACAACAACAACAACAACAGCAACAGGTAGGCAGGTAACCACCTTTCTAAGGAGCCCAGTGGCACAGTGGGTCAAAACTTGGCCTGCTAACTGAAAAGTCAACCATTCAAATCCAGCAGCAACTCTGTGGGAGAACTATATTGCAGCCTGCTCCATTAAAGATTTTGTCATGGTCGTGATGTGCCGTGGAGTCGGTCCCAACTCATAGCGACCCTGCACGGGGTTTCTGAGACTGTCAATCTTTATGGGAGCAGAAAGCCTCATCTTTCTCCCATGGAACAGCTGGTAGTTTTGAACTGCTGACCTTAAGGTTCGCAGCCCAATTAGTAACCACTGCTCTAGCAGAGCTGGGAAACGCTCTGCAGCTGCTCTACTTTGCCCTTGAGTGTCGCTATGAGTTGGAATTGACTTGACGGTAGTGTGGTTAACCACCTTTTGTAGAAGACCACTTGGCACTGGAGCTGTAGGTGAGACAGACGTTGGATTCCCATGTAGGACAAGGGAGACGTTGATGCGAAACTTTGGACAGGGATCGTTAGCAGACATTCCTAATTTTAAATGTTGACTTGATTCCTTCAGACATATACAGAAAATATTTGTCATCTAAAGAAAAGGCCCTGGTATTATAGGGTGTTCTTCGAACATGGCAGAAAAAGCATGAATGAATGTAAACACTAACGTTCTCAGAGACCAATGCAAGAAAGTGATAAACAATCAATATGAAAGACATTGGAGATAAAATCCTATCCACTTTATGCTGGAAGAGCAATTATAAACACCTTGGTCCATAGAGAAAATGCAAATGACGGGAGATTTGTACGCAGTCTAGTGACTTACCTCTTAACAATTGAGTATAAAAAGGATTTTCAATTGTCCAAATTTGACTACTTTCCTGCACAGCGCTGTTGATTTATTTGAACATGCATGTTCCCCAGTGTCGGTGAAAGGGACTGAAAATGACAGCCAGTATTATGAGGCTCCAAGTGTTTGGACACTCACAAAAATTGCCTTTTTTTTAAAAAGTGAGAAGGTGTGATCTTTTGTGATTCAAAGAAGGCAAAGTCTGAGATGGTATAAATTCCAAATAAATCAGCACTGCTTTCATTTAATACAATGTCAACACTAAAACTCTTAACCGAGGTTAGTATGTTGTTGGAAAATTTGAATGATTCCAGTATGATTGCTTCTTTCTTCAAAAGTCCATATTCCTCGTCCCCAGTGGCAACAGCATCACCATATCCTTCTATTAGAATGAAGGATAGCTGTTGGCAATGCCCCAGGACATCTTCTGTTTCCTTATTTTACTATCTAAGGAGATAAATAAGGAGCTCTGGTAACATAGTGGTTATGAATCAGGCTGCAAACCACAAGGTCAGCAGTTCGAAACTACCAGCTGTTCTGCAGGAGAAAGATGAGGCTTTCTGCTCCTGTAAAGATTTATAACCTCGGAAACTCTGTACAGGGTCACTATGAGTCAGAACCGACTCCCCGACACATCACCGCCACCACCAGCAAGGCGATAAATATGGAGCTCTGGTGTGGCATTGTAGGATAAGCACTGGACTACTAACAGGAAGTTGGTGGTTCAAACCTACCAGCCACTTCTTGGAAACCCTATACAAGGTCTCTGTGAGTTGGAATCAACTCAACACAACTTAGCAACAACAACAACAACAACAACAACAACAACAAAGAGAGAAATCTTTACCACATTCCTCACCTGTCTGTGTTGCCAAAACAAATGTGGTGGTTTGCCCCCTCGTTCCCAGGGAAGTAATGGTCATTGAACTACAGAGACGTTACATGCTTGACTTCATTTCTCCCTGAACACTAATACTGTACAGGTAAGTCACAATCACTAATTATGCAGAACAAATTTCTTCTGCATCATCTCCCTAAAATGACTATCCATTGTTCAATTGAAACTCTGAAAGAGCATCACCAGGCACTGTACCCATTAGTCAAACATTATGAGTGGCGGAGGATGGCCACCGTTGGCTACAGGTTTTGGTTTCATTCCTGTTTTTCAATGAAGATGAGCAAAGATTGAGATAAAAGCATCAGATGGAAAACAGAATCTATCATTTAGGTTTTCTCTGGTGAAATTTGATTATTTTAAGTCTTGAGGCTGTTTGGTCAAAAATCAATGTAGAGATTAAAGCTGAGAGACAGGTATAAGATACGGAGCAGATTTAATTATCTTGACTGTCAGGGGGAAAGTGGTTGAGACTCAGATTTTATTAACAGTTTTATATCCTTTGTTGTCTCCCATCTATTTTTTTTTTTTTTTTTAATGGGGCATCGTGTTGAGTACAAAGAGAGATTTTTGTATTTAAATGTGGTGATTATATATGTAAGAGAAACAGTTTCCATTTCATATTTTGCATATACAATTCAGTGATGTTAATTACATTTAGGCTGTGCAACCATCAACTCTATTCATTTCCAGATTTTTCCATCACCTTTAACACAAAGTCCGTGTCCTCCAAGCAATAAAGCCTACCTTCGCCCTCCCTCCTACTACTAACAAACTTTGGTCTCACTATGGGTGCATTTGCTTATTCTAGACACGTCATATAACTGGGGGTCATATTTATATTTTTTGTGGCAGAGTTACTTCACTCAGCATAATGTTTTCAAGGTTAATCAAAGTTGCAGTATGCATCAGGACAAAAAGATTTTTTAAAAACTCTCATCTTCGACACAGAGTTCTGGTGGCAAACTATAGGGTAAGCACTCAAGTGTGAGGTCAGTTTGAACTACAAGGTTGGTGGTTCACACTCACTAGTCACTCCTCAGAAACTCTATTCAGGATCATTGTGAGTCGGAACTGACTTGTCAGCACTTAACAATAACAACAATAACAACATCTTTACAGACTCACATTTGGTCACCCTTCCCTTGAATTTTTTTGTCAGCCTGAATTAGCACAGTGGTTACGAATTGGGCTGCTAATCTCACAGTCAGCAGTTCGAAACTACCAGCTGTTCCATGGAAGAAAGTTGAGGCTTTCTGCTCCTGTAAAGATTTATAGGCTCGGAAACCCTGTACACGGTCACTATGGGTCGGAACCGACTCCACGGCACAGAACAACAAACAAACAAATTTAGAAAGTAGCAGGTAGCAGAAATCACCCAGAAGACCATCCTTGTATTACAGA